CACTTGCCCACCCTGGTCCTGGTTTTCACCCTTGACTCTTTCCACTCTCTTCAGGCAAAAGGCAGCCACCCCAGGACCAACTCTTCATTCTGCTGCTGGTTTCTGGCCCCGCTTGTACTCATTGGTCCCACTGGAACCTCAGCTCTGCTTTTAGCAACTCAGCCCAGTTCGAGTCCCATGGAGATCATGTTATCTATGGACCAGGACTTGCCTATAAATCCTGCACCCTAGACCTGGCACCTGCCTGATCTCCACCCCCCTGGTGACCAGGGAAGTGCCCAGGGGCATTTGGCCAGGCAGTCCTGGAGGAACCCTAGTACTGCCCATCATGTTGACAATTCACACCCTGTTCCCCAACATGCACCCAGCCTGTGACTGAAGCTCATGGGGGCTGGGGACCAGAACACCCTTTCAAAGACCTCCACCTGGTCCACACTGTCAAAGACAGGTGTGGTTGAGGGAGTGGTCAGCACTGGGTGAGAATGAAGGAGGCCCTGACACAAGTGGGGATCTAAACCATGGACTTAGGGGGCAGCAACAACCCCAGCTTATTCCAGACAAGGTTATCCATCCTTCCATCTACCTATCCACCCATTTATCATCCTCCCTCCCTTTATCCACCAGCTACTCACACATCCATCCATTCACCACTCATCTGTTCATCCATCCAACCACAAATTTATCCATTTGTCCATCAGCTCTTCCATGTAACCATTCATCCATCCATCCACCCATCCACCCACCAAGCCCCCATCTATCCATCCATCCATCTCTATATATCTCCATATCCATCCACCCAGTCACCTATCAATTCATCAACCTACCCATGCATCCATTTGTCCATCAATCAATTGACCCATCTATGTGAGCAGCTGTTGTCTGCTGCCCAAGAGATAGTGCTGGCCTTCACCAGGAACACATACAGGTCACTCATGGTACCAAGTGGGAGGCATATGTGCTTGTAGAGGTGGTGGAGGGAGGACAAGGAAGTTTTCTTTTAGGTTATTCTAGTTTCTTTGTGAATGAAGAAGTAAGGTCTTCAGCTGAGACTGAGGAGTAAGAAGGGGGGACTGGAAATTTAAGGACAGAAGAGAATGGGAGGAAGAGTCCCTGAAAGCAAGAGTGAGCGTGAGAAAGAGAAATGCGGTAGGATTGCTAGGCAGTGCTAAGTACCCCCTTGAGGCTTGTGGTCATAAATTTACAGAATGGTCATCATGGTTGTGTGTCTCCAGCCATGTTCAACTGATCAAGTTCATCCACCCATTCTCCCATTGGCCATCGATCCATCCATCCACCCACCCATCCCTCCATCCTCACTTCCGCCCATCCATCCATCCCTCTGCCCACCCACGCATCCAACCATCCTCCCTTCAACCCATCCATCCATCCATCCACACTTACATCCATCCATCTATCCACCCACCCACTCATCCATCCATCCACCCACCCGTCCATCCATTCATCCACTCATTCATCTCTCCCACCCACCCACCTACTCAGCTACCCATCCATCCATCCATCCATCCATCCTCACTTCCATTCATTCATTCATCTTCATTTCCATCCTCCCTTCCATCCTCATTCAATCCATTTCCACCCTTTCATCCACCATCCATCCTAACTTCCATCCATCCATCCATCCATCCATCCATCCACCCACCCATCCATCCATCCTCACTTCCATCCACCCATCCATCTATCCTCACTTCCATCTATCCGTCTGTCCACCCATCATCCATCCATCCACCCACTCAGCCATCCATCCATCCTCACTTCCATCCATCTACCCACCAACCCACCCATCCATCCATCCTCACTTCCATCCACCCATCCATCTATCCTCACTTCCATCCATCCTTCTGTCCACCCACCCAGCCGTCCATCTATCCACCCGCCCACCCAGCCATCCATACATCCTCACTTCCATCCACCCATCCATCCCCCCAACCACCCATCCATCTATCCACCCACCCCTTCATCCACCCTCCATCTTCACATCCATCCATCCATCTTCTCTTCCATCCATCCCACAAGCCCCATCCCCCCTCCATCCTAGAGGATGGTATAAATGACTGGGTATGTTTCTGCCCTTGAAGAGATGAGAAGTCCAGGGTGAATAGAGAGGACAAGCCAGCAAACATGGAGGGATGACGTCTCATGTTACTGTCGGGTGGAGCTGCACTCTATGCCTCTTTGCTTTTCCCGGACCCTAGCTCCCCATCCTTCCACGTGTTGCACCCTGGACCACTCAGCTAAGAAGTAGTGTTATCAGGCTGTGGAACAGGGGCTGGGGCTGAGGGCGGGGCCCCCTTCCTTCCACCATTCCAGGCCAGGCACTGGGCTGTGTCCACTGTGGGCTTGTCCTCAAAGTCCATGTGTCCTATAATCCACAAAAAAGCAAAACAACCTGAAAACCACTCACATCTTCTTGCGGTCCAGACTGTCCCTGCCTGTAGCGGAGTGGAGGCGGGGCGAGGCGAGGGCTGGGACCAGGGAAGATGGCCCTGGGGACAGAGGAGGCATGAGTGTACCTTGTCTGGCCCTTCTGGGCTCACAGAAGATGCAGCCGCCCTCTGAGGATAAAGTTTGACTTCAAATCAGTCTCAGTCCAGAAGGAAGCTGCCAGCATGTCCTCCCAGTGCCACCCACAAGCACCCCACAGGGCAGGCCGAGCCTTTCTGCAGAGGTCTCATCTCAGGGGGTGTCCAGGGGGAGGGGACACAAACTAGAGAGGGACAGGGCAGGGCAGGGCAGAGCAGACCTTCCCCAGGGCCAAGGATACAACAATCACTCGAGACAGAGCTGTTGACCAAATAAGGCCAGTTGGTCAGCCATCCAGGTGTGTGCACCTCTGAGGATGCAGGGGGCCTTTCAGGTGTACAGGCCTCCAAGGATGGAGGGGGAACGTCCAGGTGCGTGCATCTCCGAGGATGAAGAGGGGCCTTTCAGACGTACAGGCCTCCAAGGATGGAGGGGGGCCGTCCAGGTGTGTGCATTTCTGAGGGCAGAGGGGGAGGAAGTCTGCCTGGAGGAGGTGGTCCTCGGCTGGGCAGGGCCAGCCAGATGAGAAGGGCTTTGTCCAGAAGCCGAATCATGGTCCCACCTGGTGAGTGATAATGGCACACATCTGCCACAGGGCTTATACTGTCACACACCACTTGTGAGGCAGGTAAATCAGGGGTCACTCTCACCCCATCGATAAACACAACAGGCTCAGGAAGCGGGTGATTTGTCCATGGTGCCTCCATTCTCCTGAGAGGTGTAGTGGCCTATCTCCTGGCCTCACGGCATCCCCTTCCTCACTCTGCATCCTCTCCCCCAGCCCTCGGTAATGGGGCTAGGCTGTGGCACTGTCCCAGGCAGCCCCTGGGTCTCCACACTCCAGGGAAGGGGGTGGCTGCCATCTGAAGACCACACAAGGGCGTCTGATGCTAACCCAGGTGGCGGCCTGGAGGAGTGAGTGGGCCGGGCTCTCGTGGGCCCAGGTCTCGGGGGGGTCCATGGCCGGGGTCAGTCCTCCTTGCCCACAGTTGTGGGTCTACTCCTGCCATCTCAACTTCTCTGCCATGTCATGTCACAGCGGCGATGGTTGTTGGGGCGGCGGAGACAGTAACCAATGCCACAACTCTTACAGAGAAGTGGGGCCAGGAGGGTCACTCTGAGGAGTCGAACCCCGGCTTCAGTCCTAGGAGTTTATTTTATAGTCAATACAGCAAGCAGTAAAGCAAATAACAGAACAATGGGCTTTGGGTGAGTAACAATAAGTTTCGGGCAAGGGAGAAGGAATTCAGGTAAACAAGCCAATCAGTAACAGGATAATAGGTCTGGGAAAACAAGTCGTGCCTAATCTCTTTCTCATTGCTGACAAGTCTCCAACGTGTTGTATACAGCATAGAGGCCTGTGGGGACTGCAGTTGTCAATAGTGCAGCCATGTTTAAATGGCATATATCCCCACAACCTCGCTGCCCCTTTGCCCCAAGCCAGCAGTCTCAGACCCACGCCACCGGCCTCCTGGGGACCCTGCAGCAGCCCACACGGCCACAGACGTGCTCCAAGAGACCCTTCACACCCAGTGACCTTGAAACGTGGGACAAGTCCCGGTATGATCAAGGGGAGAGAATGTGCGCTATATAAATTTCATGCTTTTCACAGTGACACCTGTCTGCTGCCTGGCTCTCTGTCACCCCCTTCTGCCCGTCTCCCAGACACTTGCGTCCCCACCCAGAACACCTAAATTCCAGAAAAACTTCCATCCCTCCTGTTTCCTTCTTAGAAACACTCAATGTCTCAATCTTATCAGGCTCGTAATTGATGAATCTCTGCACTCAGGTAGATGACACAGGACGGCAAAACCCACAGACCGCATCCTTAGCAGGGGCTGGATAAACCAAAGGGCAGGGACTCTGTCGGGGACTCTGGGAGGGAGGCTGGATGCCCCAGGGATCATGATGGAGTCCTATCTCCACCACAGGCACCTATCCTGCCCTGGGTGCCAGCCCCCCTCAGCTCCCAGGGCCACAATGAGAATTGGGGGTCTGCACCCTGGTCTCAGCCAGGGAACAGCAGAGGAGAGCGGAGCGTGCAGTCACAGAACCACACACGAGTGGGAACCAGGCTTGCCCCAGCCATACAGAACAGATTCAAGCTCTGCAGAAAATCGGGCAGAGAAATGGGGGGCAGGCAGCGTGAGAGGGGTGGCTAGGAGGCCACTCCAAGGTGGCGCCACGTGGCCTAAGTGAGGAGAAGGTCTTTGGGAGCATTGTCCAGGCCAGGGGAAGTGCCTTGTGGGAGAAGTTCAGCCACAGACACCACCTCTTAGAACGGCAGATTCAATCAGGTTAACCGGCACCCAGTCTGTCAGTTTGTCGTACTTCGGAGGCTTGTGTGATGCTGTGATGCTGGAAGCTGTGCCACCCGTATTTCAAATACCAGCAGAGTCACCCATGGTGGACAGGCTTCAGTGAGCTTCCAGATGAAGGCAGATAAGGAAAAAAAAGCCTGGCGATCTATTTCTAAAAATTAGCTGATGAAAACTCTATAGGTCACGACAGAATATTGTCCAATACAGCGCTGAAAGATGAGCCCCCTGGGTGAGAAGGCACTCAAAATACACAGTGGTCACAAAAAAGGACTCAAGCCTAGCAAGGACGGTGAAGATGGCGCAGGATCGGGCAACGTTCTGTTCTGTTCAACGGAAGGTCCCCATGAGTTGAGCTAACTCAACGGCATCTAATCACAGCGACAAACAGCTCAACGACCTGAGTGTGCAAAGTAGAACCATGAAAGCAATGATGGAAACCAACTTAGAAGAGTCTATTTGTGACTCAGAGGTGAAAGAAAGCCTTCTTAAACGAATTTGCAACAGCATAAACCATAAGGCAGAAACGGATACGTTTCGATCACAGCAAACAATTCGGGATTTTGCTCAGTCCAGGTTAATAGACAGCAGGACAAGATATTTACAACAGCTGAGACTGACAGAGGCCTGACACCTAGAATACAAAACAAACACCACACGTCAGCAAGAAAGACTGCAGCCTCAACGGAGAAGAGAGAAGGACACCCACAGGCAACTCACAGAGGAGAAAGCCGAACACAGGAAGAGAAGCTAAATTCATTAGTAATCCGAGATAAGCAAATAAACACGGCTTGTTTTACCTACCGGACTGGCAGCCATCCAAGCACTGGGCCATGCTGAGTGCTGCTGGGGACAACGGGGGCCCCAGGCCCTGTGGGGGAGCCAGAGGAACACAGCAATTCCTTAATCAATTTAATGTGCACATAGCCTGTGCCTATATGGACGCATCATATCCAACAGAGGGCCAGAGGGGGCGCTATGAATAATTACCCCACATGAGTCTCCTGGGGCTGCTGTAACAAAATACCAGAAGCCGGGTGGCTATAGGAGTCCCTAAAAAAAAACAAAACCAAACCCACTGCCGTGGAGTTGATTCCGACTCATAATGACCCCATAGAACAGAGTAGAACTGCCCCATAGAGTTTCCAAGGAGCAGCTGGTGGATTCAAACTGCCAACCTTTTGGTTAGCAGTCGAGCTCTTAACCATTGGCCACCAGGGCTCCACAGGAGTCCCTAGGTGGTGCAAATGGTTAAGCACTCAGCTGCTAACAGAAAGGTTGGAGATTTGAGTTCACCCAGAGGTACCTTGGAAGAAAGTCCTGGTGATCTACTTCCAAAAGGTCGTAGCTGTCAAAAATAATCAAAACTCAACAGAATTTATTCAACAGGTTTATTCCGAGCAGTTACTCTATATGCATATAGGAGACCATTTTAATTCCAGAAAAAGCAAATGCCTAGAAGAAGCTAGGTACAATGGGGCTTGTAAAGAGAAAAGGAGGGAGAAATATAGAAGATCAACCACTGGCTAATCTTAACACGATTGATCGAACCCCGCCCTCCCCCTTTTACTGAGATCAACTGACATCAGGTCACAGGGTGGTCTCCGGCCTTCTCCCTCACCTGTAGCTGTCTCCTTTGAACTTCAGATTTAGTAAGCCTAGCTTCGAACAGGAAAGAATGATTTGCAACTTTGGGTGAAAGAAAAGCTGCTGGCAGATTAACTTTGGTCAGGGATTTTCTTTAAAGTGAACATTAAGAAAATCCTAAAATCAAAGCAAGATATCTGCTATCAATTTCTCTCTTTGACACAGCATTGGAAACCCTGTGAAGCACAGTCCTACTCCGACACACATGAGGTCGCCATGAGTCAAAGTCAACTCAATGGCAACTGGTTTTGAGTAGCTATAAGAACAGAAACGTACCATCTCACAGCTCTGGAGGCTGGCAGTCCGAGATCAGGGTGTCGGCAGTGTTATTCCTTCTAAGGCTCTGAGGGAGAATCCACCCTGCCTCTCTCTAGCTTCTGGTGACTCCAAGAGCTCCTTGGCTTGCAGCTGCAGGGTTGCATGGTGTCCTTCCTGTCTCCCTGTCTCTGTCTCTTTTATAAGGACAACACCTATATAGGATTGTTGTTGTTAGCTGTCATGGAGTAGATTTCGACTATAGTGACCCCATGTGACAGAGTAGAACTGCTCCATGGGGTTTTCTAGGCTGTAATCTTTACAGGAGCAGATTGCCAGGTCTGTCTCTCGCAGAGCCGCTGGGTGGGTTCGAACCATCGACCTTTTGGTTAGCAGCTGAAGGCTTAACTTGTGTCACCGGGGCTCCTTTAGGACCCACCTTACTGCAGTATGGAGCCCTAGTGGCACAGCGGCTAGGAGCTCAGCTGCTAACCGAAAGGTTGGCAGTTCAAATCCACCAGCTGTTTCTTGGAAACTCTGTGGGCCAGTTCTACTCTGTCCTATAGGGTCGCTATGAGTCAACTTGATGGCACTGGGTTTGTTTTTTTGTTTTTGTGCTCCAGTATGACCTTGTATTAACCTAACTGCTAACATCTGCAAAGCCCCTATTTCTAAACAAGGCCACATCCACAGGTACAGGGGTCAGGACTTGAACATATCTTTTTGGGGGTCACAATTCAATCCATAACACCCCAGGATAATTGGGAAAACGGGAGAGTTTCAGGCATACTGTCACCCAACCTAGGGTTGGCAGCTCCCAAAACCTGGTACAGGTCCTAGGGGTGTGCACAGGGGTATGCCCTGCAGTGTAGCTGGAGCTGGCTGCCCTGGGGGTCCACTGGGTGACCATACCTGCAGAGAGGATGGTCAAATGAAGAGCACCCAGAGCAACTAGAAGACCCGGACCTTGGAGCCACACGGCCTGGGTTCATATTCCAGCTCTGTCCCACCTGGGGAACCACCCGGTGACTCAGTTTCTCCATATGGACATGACAACAGTACCTCCCTCACTGAACGTGTAAGTCTTTATGTGAGAAGCTGGCAGAGCCAGGCTGGCCCAGAACCAGCACTAGGTGCACCCCAGCTTTTGGTATCAGGGCTTTTTCTGGCTGGGCAAGGGTTCTGGGTGAGCAGGGATAAGCAGGAGCCCTGTGTGCAACTGGGAGGAAAAGCTAAGTGTCCTTTGTTCCTGAACCTTCCTCAGGAGGCAGGTGGGCGAGCAGAGGCTGTGATGATGCTTATGGCCGTGACTGGGGTTCCAGCAGGACCCCTGAGCCCCTGTGGGGTGGGAATGGAACCCGTGTGCTCACTCGGTTATTGCCCACAGCAGCAGCCCAGCACCATCCTTCCCCTCCTGCACCCACCTGCCTCCCCAGGGCCAGCTGCCGGGGACATCCTGCCCAGCACCTCAAATTCCACTGAACACCCAGCAAGTGCTAGACTCGGGCAGGCTGGGGACTCAGGGGGAATCAGCCCACGCCTCTGTTTGCTGCCTGACAGCCTGGCAAGGCAGCGAGGCGGGCATTCACTCGTTCATTCACTCATTTAGCACCCATGGAGTGGCAGCTGTGGCAGGCCAGCCCCGGGGATCCACCTGGGCCTGGAAGCCTCACCTCCTGGTGCCCTCCCTGTGGACAGCAGTGACCTCACTGTGGCTGGAGGAGAGGGGAAGGGCTGGGTGTCTGGGCACACAGGGGCTCAAAGGCACTCCCAGAAGGCAAAGATCCCCAGGGCAGCAGCAGAGGAGATGGCGGAGGGGCCACTTGGCTGCAGCCCACCGGCCCCACCGCCTGTCAATCTGTGAGGAGGAGGCCCTGCTGCCCCCGTCCCTGGCAGGGAGAGCACACAGCCAGGGTAGACACCCCAGGCAAAGGGGCCTGGCCGCGTCCAGGGTCCCCCTAGAAAGCAGTGATGGGCCAGGCTTCTGACTCATGCCCCTGCCCCCCATACAACACCCCCCCAGCTCAATCCCACTGGATGCTTAATGGGGTGCAGGCCTCCATGGGCAGGAGACACCTTTCTGAGCACATTCCCCACAGCCCTTTGCCCTCCACAGGGGCGAGGCTCAGGGGTGCAGCCCCCTCCTGCACCCTTATCCAGCATCACCGCCAGGCCTCCCCGCCACGGGGTCTGCCCGAGAGACCATGCTGGAGGAGACGGCCTGAGAGTTTGCCTCCAGGGGGCGGCCTGGGTCCTGGGGGCCAGGATGGGGCGGGGGAGCGAGGCCAAGCCCCAGTCGGATCTCAGCAGCCCTCAAACCCATTCTCCACCCAGCCGTAAGAAAGCGGGCCGGCCTGTCCACATGGGTTATACTACTCCATGGCTCTTCCAGTCCTCGCTAGGCAGGGCATCCTAGGGAATTCTCCTGGCCCCCCAAACACTGCCCCTGCTCCCTCAGACCCAGCCCCCCATTGCTGCAACTCCCAGGGTCCCTACCAGAGCCTGGCACATCCTGCGGGCTCTGGGCACGCCTCCTGGGCTTGCAGACAGCGATGGCGGAGCACTGACAGCCCAGTGGGAGCCCTGGAGACCCCGTCCCTGCCTCTGAACTCAAGTTCCTCCTTGACCTGGGGGGTGGAGGAGCTGATGCGGGTCAGGGGCCCCTCACTTTCCAGGGTCACCACCGGTGTCACCTCCTGCCCTCTGCACAGCTCTCCTGGGAGTGGGAGTTGAGCTCATTTTCCGGCTGTGGAGACTGAGCTCAGAGGATGAGTCGGCACTTCTCAGGCTATCTTGTCGGCCCACGCACCCGTTCCTGTTGAGTCGATTCCGACTCATAACGACCCTATAGGACTGAGTAGAACAGCCCACAGGGTGTCCAAGGCTGTTATCTTTTCGGAAGCAGACCGCCACAGCTTTCTCCCGTGGAGCAGCTGGTGGGTTCAAACCGCCGACCTTTTGGTTAGCAGCTGAGCACTTAAGCACTGTGCCACCAGGGCTTCTTCTCAGCCCACCAGGCCCTCCCAGTTGCCCCCATCAACCTTGGCCATGTGTGTGTGCCCAGGATCCTGGCCCCTGGCATGGGTGGGCATTTGGTGTCCCCTCCCCAGTACTGAATATCGGAACTAGGTAGCCCCAGAGCTGGAGGCTCCAGTCTGAGGACAGCCGAGTGGTGGCTGAGTGGAGACAAAGGCCTTCTCTGGGCCCAAGTCCTGGTTCAGCCGAGGACAAACACAGAAGTGACTGGGTTTGGGAAGGCTGTGTGCCCGTCCGTCTCTCCCCAGAGACCTCCCTCCACCCTCAGCCCCGCAGGTGGCTCCCTCGAAGATGGCGCTCTCCCTTGAGAACCCCCCGCCCCACCCCCA